TGACTAGCTGCCTTCCCTCTAGTCTTACACTGCTAAATTAGGGACGGCTAGCGCAGATAGCCCTCGTGTAGCTTTGCGCGAAATTCAAAACAAACAAACAAACTATTTGAATATCAGCTTTAGACATAATTTCACTTGTAGCATTCCAGGATATTTTCCAAGGAAAAAAGTTTTTTTTTTCAATGCTCGCAATATAAATCTTTCTTTTTGATCAGTTTGTCACTTAAAATAACATTGAAAAAAAAACTGAATTTTTTCTTCATTTTTCTATTCTTCGTGATTCCTAATAATCTTGCTTCTCTTGATTTATAGGTTGACTCTATTGCTTTCTTGTGCTATGAAATTCGAATCTTATCCTCACGACACTCAGACTTGTTCATTAAAAATCGAAAGCCGTAAGTTATTTTTGATTTTAGTTTATATTTATAAATGATAACATTTTGGGCCTGTGACTATTTATTTAATTATAGAAATGTCTTTTTTATTTGCGCATAAAAATGTCTTCATAGAAATGTTTTTAAATTCATATATAACATGTGTTCTAAGGATGTAAAATAAAGCATTCGCAGCGACATCATAGCATGTGGAATTCTATGCTGCTTTAATCTTCAGTGTTGTAAAATATACTAACAAAAGACATAGAGTTACTTTTACAGACGAAAAAAATATATATATAGATATGAATCACTGAAGTAAACAGAAAGCCAACATTATGGTTATAAATCAGTGATTTATATTTAATATTCAAGACCCTGCATTTACAACAGCAACATAAATCTTCCATTTCAGTTAGTATATTTTATGGCCAGTTATATTTACTGGCTCTCGTAGGCTTTACTCTTTTGCTTAGGAAATGGTATATCTGACTGATTATGTACTGTGCCATTTTAAAAAGTTCCTATATAGACTAAGGAACAGCTGTGTGAATGCGATAAAAAAAACTAAAAGCGTGGAACGTCGCAGTAGCAGTCTCATTTCCTGTCCCTCTTTTCCCTCTACCTCTATTTATATTAATAGTATTATAGGTGAAAATATAAACAATTCGGTATTACCAGGCAACATTTGTTAATCAATTGATAATACATTCAACTATAGCAAGTTAGTTTAATCAGCATTTTATAAATGTTACTAGAATGCATTTAAAAATAACATAAGATTAGAGATGAAGAATTTGAAAGTACGTGTAATTCAAATCCCAAGACACTATTTTTTATCCTACAACATATAATGAAACTAAAAGTATATTAAATCGTTAAATATATATATATATATATAATATATCTACTGATATTGATAACTCAAGAACTGAAATTTCGAAGAATATACGGATTATGTTAATAGGTCATTACTTGAAAGGCGATGTTAATGGATTGCATCTGTCTAGGAAGTTTTAGACGAGTTTCGAGTTGTTTTTGCAGATCTTCATCAAGTCCTAACGAATATCTGTGCGAGCAGGTCGAAGCGTCGTCTAAAAACTTCTCCGTTAGGCTGTTATTATATATATATATTTTTACACTTTATATCTTCAGTCCGAATTTTTTCTAGTAAGTTCAAAAGAGCTAAATTAATTCCTATATAAGAAAGTGGAGATGAAATGATTTTGGAAATTAACGCCCATTGTTAATGTTACCTATTTTATCAAACATTATTGAAAAATTGGAAAGTTAGGCTCAAAGTTATTTCTAAAAAACATGATTTACTTACTGCTTAAGTACAGCTTGGTTTATGAGAAAATTTAAGTACTGAACATGTTTTGTTACATTTTACTCAAAATATTTATTAATCATTAGATGAAAGTATAGCAACATTTGCCATAACTCTTGATATTTCTAAAGCTTTTGACACAGTGACACATAATGTGTTATTTATAAAGTTAGAAAATAAAGGAATTAGTGGCATGGCTTAAATTTGACTTAACGGTTATTTATAAAAAGAATATAATGTGTATTATAAAGGACATTTATATTAGTTCACTACAAGCTATGTATGGTGTTCCACAATGATCTGTTCTAGGACTTATAATATTTATATATAATTTTTGTAAGGATAAACTACATGGTTTGTTCTGAATTTCGCGCAAAGCTACACGAGGACTATCTGTGATGGCGTCCCTAATTTAGCAGTGTAAGACTAGAGGGAAGACAGCTAGTCATCACCAGCCACCACTAGTGGGGTTGGCCGTCACATAATAACGCCCCCACGGCTGAAAGGGCAAACATGTTTGGTGGGATGAAGATTGCGAGTCCTACCCACCTGGCCATGCCGAGCCAAAACTACACGGAAATATTATAACTCTTGCTGGTGATAACATGTTTTACGGATTAAATAGAAGATATGATTATTTCAATTAGAAACGGCACGGACAAAAAAAAATGATAAACTACTTTGAATTAAGTAAATTATGTATAAATACTTTGAAAACAAAATACATACGTTTTAAGGTAAGGGGTGAATAAATGAAAATTATCTTATTATTAAATGCCATGATAAAACATTTTATGATATAAATAGTTGGAAATCTCAATTAACTGAAGAAGTAAACAGTTATATTAAATATATTTGGGATACAAGTTAAATATATATATTATGTACATTTTATCACATTAAAATATGTTGATATGACAATGTTGAGGACTATATATTGTCCTTAGGTTCATTCAAAGTTACAATATGGAACGATTCTTACAAATGTAAATAAAAAACATAATTATTTAATATAGAAAATTTAAAAACGATATAATTTTTTATGCAATAATATTTATAACTTCATATAAAAATTAATGTATTAAAGTGTTAGTTTAACATTTGTCTCCCCAGTGGCACAGCGGCATGTCTGCGGACTTAAAACGATAGAATCCAGATTTCGATACCCGTGGTGGGCAGAGCACAGATAGCCCATTGTGTAGCTTTGTGGTTAACTACAAACAAACAGTTTAATATCCCATATAATAGTGCTTTTGAGACATTAAAAGAAAATATGTAATTTATTTTTAATTTTTGTATAATATTAACAGTGAGGTTTATCGCTATTTTAACATAAAGATATTGACTCTTTCTTTAATTCATTTTTATCAAATTATAAACTAACTAAGGCAAGTTTGGTGACGAGGAACCCACTTTGAGACTAATAATGGCTGGAGACGGCTTGAATGGGTAATGAAGAAACCTTGTCGAAACGGCCCGGCATGGCCAGGTGGTTACGGCACTCGACTCGTAATCTGCGGGTCGCGGGTTCGAATCCCCATCACACCAAA